TTGGTACATTTTAAGGAAAAAAAAAACTATAGTTTTGTTGAAATTAACAACTTACAGCAGAGGTAAAATACCAACGGCCACTTCCAGGATGATGCGCAAATGTAGGCAGCTAAAGGTGAACCTAAAAAGCCTCCTATCTGATTGCCAGATGTATAGATAGAAGCTGCTGTACCTCGTTCTGTGGCAGGAAACCAGACAGCTATCATTGCGTTTATTGCCGGTACCACAAAACCCTGAAATTAGGGTATCATATTTGACACTGAAAATTTGTTATTATTTTGATCTGATCTAATACAAAAAAACTATTGCTTCTTATTATTATTATTGGTTTTTTTACAGCTAAAAGTTTAATACAAAAAAATTTTATTTTGTGGAAAAAATTTTGACGTCACGATAATGGAAAATTATAGTGAAAAAAAAAATTTGTTTAGGGTGTTTTTATAACTTAACTAATGCACTTATTAAATCTTTGATCATCAGTGCTGAGTAAGTTTGTTGCGTTAGCAGCATACTTTTAGTTTTTGTATGTTTTAATTGCGTAAGCAGAGCAATTAATTAGAATACTATAAAGAAAAAGAAAACAATGTTTAATTTGATTGTGATTTATAATGACATTAAAAATTTCATATAATTTTAAAAGCTATATAACAAAATTAGTCTGATAATGATATTCATCTGCCACAAGAACCGATTACCCTAACAGTGTTTACCTCTTAAGTTGAGCAGAAGAAACAAATGAATAATTTTGATCAGTTTTAAATTGTAACTAAAAGAGACAAATTTTACTTCGCCAATACCCATAACTATCCTTGAAAGCAGTGCTGCAGTATATCCAACATTTAGTGTTAACCATGGAAAAACTGCTGTACAGATGATGTAAAATGCAATTCCAAGTTGAAGTAACCATTTTGGTGATGTTCGATCAGTGACGTAACCTGATAGTAATGCAGTTGCAACACTGCTCCAGAAGGTTCCTTTAAAAATTTCCTTCTGATGTTTACTGTCCCATTCCAATGAACCCTGCAAAAACTGCAGTAAATTCCTGTTCAAAATTTTGTTGTTTCCAGTGTTCAGTTACAAGATCAGAAATTTTTCTTCCCAATGATCGTTGGTTGCTGTTAACAAATTTCCCGTGAATCTATAAGCGAAAAGAAGTTAAAAAAAAATAGGCTACTGTATATCATATAAAGTCAACAGTTAACTTGCATATGTTGAACAGTTTTTTTAATATGTTATTTATAAGGTAGTTTTTTGTGCTTATTAATGTCAAAATCAGAAGTAAAATAATTTTTTTTCAAATTAGGAACAGATTAAAAAACAAATTTTTTTTATAAAAAGAAAAAAAAAACAAAAGTTTCAAAAATTGATACCGTCAACAAGCAAAAATAGAAAGTTTTTCAAAGAATTCAACATGATTTCAATCGTATTATGTACTATAAAAATAAATCAATTTTTATGTCAAACATTTTTTATTAATCACCAATTTTTCCTTCCATACATATGCATTTTCGTCACGTGTATTCTGAAATGTCCAGTGAAAATAAAAGGAAACAGAATAAAGAAGCCATTAAAAGC